ATATATATATACACGTATATATATCAGTTCGTTTAAAAGAGGGAAAGTAAGAGCCAGAGAGGAGAAAGTTGGGAACAGAGCGGGAGAGGGATGGAGAAAGCCATCGACAGGCAGGGAGTACTTCGCCGGCATCTTCAATCCTCTTCTTACGACCATTCTACATCACTTTCGGTAACTCATTCTGTAATCGATCGGCTTCCATTGGGAGGTTTCTTCCTCTCATTCTCTCTTTGAGCAGATTGGGTTAATCGGGGCTTAAATGCTCTAGATTTGTCCTGCTTTCAGTGTGATCCGAATTTCTTTTTATGATTTGAAGGGGTTTGCTATTGCGCAGGCGTCTGTATGTGCTGCTGGAGACAGTTCGGCCTACCAGAAGAACCATGGCTTCGATGACGATGTTGTTATCGTGGCGTAAGTTCATCTTCTTGCGCTTTGAGAAATAATCTGGTTGTTGCTCTAGTGATTTTGTGAAACCTGACTTCCGTTCTGCTTCTTCCTTATTTTTCTTCGAAGGTTTTCTTAATTTGTCTTTATGCTGTGGAATTTTAAATTAATTTTGGAAGGATGCTTAGTTCTGACAGCCAGCGGTGAGGTCTCTCCGATGTACTTTTGCGACGTCTGGAATTTTTTTTTCTTTTTTATTTTGACGTGGAATAAAGTATAGTAGATGCCTAAAATATAGTTCTTCTTTGAAAAATCAACTTTGGCTTCGATAGTTAGCTTCAAATCTCTGATTATGATTAATATAATTAATATTTAATTTCTCCAACCTAGAACCCAAGGCTCCATATTGTAGAAAACGTCAGAATTCACTGCGGATTTGCTCGAACAAAACTTTGCTTTAGCTAGCAGGACTACATATAGACCAACGCTTCTAACATGCATAAACAGATCACGATTCAGAAAATACAGATTAATGCTCCACGCTACGTTTCCAGGGCTTTGAAAATTCCACCTAGATGTAAAAATACTTTTAATGGGTCAACAGGGCTGCAAAAGAACCAAAGCACATTATGAACAACTCTAACTTGACTCAATTGATAATCCATTAAATTTGTTCAAATTAATAAATAAGTAAATTTGAATATTTTTTTAAAACACAAATTTTAAATGAAACGAACTTAAACACATCCCAACTCATTTTTTTAGGTTGATGAACAAACTCATTTATCATTGAACAAATAATTTGTTAATGCTTGATATTAAATTTGATCATAGTTCATCTCATATCTATTTGATATATTATTTAAATAAATTTAATTAATTATAACTTATTTAATTATTTGTTTCATAGCAATAAATTATAATTTACTATCAATTATATTTTAGTATTAATTATTAATTACATAATAATTTATTATAATTTAATATCAATACAGCTGTCAATTTAAAAAAATTTCTTATTTATTTATTTTAATGAACTAATTTATTAATATTTTTTTATATTAGTTGATTGCAATAAAACTTACATTATTTTATTTAGTTGATGTCAAATAGTTATATACTAATTCAAATTTTGCTCAATTGTTTATTTGTTAAAATTTATAAAATTAGATGCTAATAATTTTATATGAAAATTCCAAATACTCACTCTAATTTTGTGATTGCTTATTAACTTATTGAAGTATTCGTTCAATTAATATAAATAATCCAAGTCTAAGTCTGGTGTAATGATTAAAAAATTTAAACAAGACTAGTATGAATGAATATAATTGTGAAAGCTCGGTTTAAGCTCGAGTTGAATATGTGATGTTCGAGATTGCTATGAAATAAGTCAGTTAACCACACAAGTATATGTGTTGATTAAGTAATATACGAAAATAATTTCACGTATCAATCCATCTCACAGGAAAGGGTCAAAAATATTTTTAATTTGGGAAACTCTAATTTAGTGCACTACTAAACCTTGTTTGAGGTGATCTCAATTGCAGTGATGAGCATTTAACAATCCCAAGAGAAAACAACAAATAAAATAGGAAATAAGAAAGGAAACAACAAAAACAGGAAGTACTTGAGGATCATTCACAGGAAGTAAGATTCATGCTTCTGTGATTCAAGTATAGTGGTATCTTGACATTTTCCTATAAGATTTTTTTTTAGGTGATAATTGCCAACCATGGACAATATTCTTCTTATATCTATATTATAAGAAGAGTTGTGAACCATATTATGATTACGTTGGACTTAACCATCCAGTGTTTTTCAGGACTATTCAGATCCCCTATAGTGGTTGTAATTTTTTAGTGATAATGTCTATTTCACTAGGCTATTATGTGTTAACCTGCTCGTTCCACTAGGCGACTATTAGAAGTCCCAAATCACAAGAGTTTTTAACGTCCTAATTAGTCTGTTTATAAGTAAACTACATGCAGAAGGTTCAAAATAACATGCATAAGTCAAAAGTGCAGATAACATATACGAGAAAAATACATACAAAACATAACGAGAAATATTCTATCTTTGCATCATACAAGCATAAAGAGATTCAACTACTCGACATGAGAGAAAAAAAAAACATAGAAGTTTTCATTAAAAATGTTAAAGAAAAACTAGTGCAAGAAAGTATATCTTACAACCAAGTAATTACTCTCTAGAATACACTCACTCCTTGTACAATGATAATCACCCACAAGAACTTCCAACCAAACAGATGCAATTTTTATCACGCACAAAATCTTCTTAGAAACTCATAGCAAAGAAGGATCTAGAAGCTTTCCCTTTCAAGGAAGAAAAAGAAAATCATATGGATGAAAGTAGAACTCTCTTGCTACCAACTCTCTTAGGTAGTGCCCTAGCCAAATTCAACATGAAATCCCTTGTCTAACTAAACAAATTGCACTATGGTGTAACCACGACTTAGGTGAAGCAGCCACACAGAATGCGGGCGTAATTACGAGTTCTTAAGGGTCTGTTTGGAGCAGCTGCAGTTTATCCAGTTTATGCTGATAAACAGCTTATTTAGATAATCTGTTGATGACCAGCTGATCCGGATAAGCTGACTGACTGTTTGGTTTGTGCGTTTGGAAAACAGCTGATTCTGGATAAATGAACAATCTGCCCTAATCTGGATAAAGCTGTTTAGTTGTTTGGTTCGTGCGTTTTGTAAACAAAATATTTGCAGTTTTACAAATTTACCAACCTTCTTAATTCAAAATATTCTTAAATGTAAAGCTACAATTCTTTCATTTTAAGAGCCAAAGACATGTCCATAACAATTCATATGCCCAAATACTATACAAATCCATATAGTAACAATTTCATTTGCATTTACTTAAGAACAGGTACTATAATTTCAGCAAAGCACTCGAACCAAAAGCACTCAAATATCAGTTACAGATAAATTGAACCAACAATACTCAAATAACATCAAAGCACTCCAACAAAGCACTCCAGCCAATTTCGACAAAGGATCAAATGAATGAAAGATGAAGATGTGAAAAGCACTCCAGCAAAGCACTGTAGCACAGATTTCAGGTTTTTACATGTTAAAACATAAGAGAAAACAATGAAAATTTATAAACAAAAATATCTTCTTTCTTTTCCTATTTCTCAGCCATTTAAATTCATAGATGCAACACAATACCCCTTCTACTCTTCCAATTTATTTTCCAACTTCATATTTTCCTTTAATCTAACATGGCGGGCATCAATAAGTAGATAATGCGTACAAAAGAAAATGATTCCGGGAGCTAGGAGGTGAAGGATGTGCAAGAAAATCAAATTGATAAGCAATTTTGAAGGGAAAGGGGAATGCAGACTACAGAAACAGTTACCATTATGAGAAAATTTATCTATTGACTCACGAAGGTGCTCGTTCCTGCGCTCATCTAGCTCGGAACTCAGAAGCTTCGATACATTTTCACCTTACTAAGCAGACAAAGGTGAAAACAATGAAGGAGAAAGTGAGTGGAAAAGGCCCTTGTTCAAAATCAAAGTAGCAGAAGCCTTGATATCCCTCTACGCAAGAATCAAAAATACTTAACGTTTCCTGTTTGAGCCAAGCCACACGCCATGCCTGTCTTTGATTTCCTCCCCTTCGTTGGTCTCGCACGCTCCAAGCAGAAGAAGCAGAACGGAACACGATGAGGAGTGCCGAAAAAGCGGCTCTACGAGCTAGATCGCGAGATTCCAGGGCAGGGGAGTAATTGTGGACAAAACGCGGCAAGGAAGGCCACCAGCAAGATCATCCTCGCGAGCGACGTTAATCACAAAATAAAAATCACGATTTTCAAAATACAGGTAAAACGTGAGAAACAAATAGTAAGACGACGTTTTAAAAAACACCGCCGCACTTATAAGCGTCCCCAAATGAACCCCATGTTTATTATAAATCTTCAGCGCCTTAAGTTTCCCTTGGTCCTGGCAAAACCCAACAGAGTAGTGCACGCTAGCTCTCTTGCTTCGGAAAAAATATTACCTGACGCCACCGTTGCATACTATCAAGAACAGCCGTCTTCTTCCTATGGGTACACGCGAGCACAACACTATTTAAACTCCGCTTTCGAGTTCTCCTCTCTCGCACAGTTCGACAACCCTATTTCACGCACGATACCGCGAGATCACCACTTCTCTTCTTCTTCGGTTGCAGCTCATCCTAACAAAGCTCGCGAGGCTTATCCTCATCTTTCCTTCAGCTCTGATTCAATCGAGAGCTACTCGCTTGCATCTTCTCCCTCCTGGTCGACCTCGTCTTCCACCTCACGCGAGCACGGCAGTAGTGCACGAAGCCAATCCTCTTTCCTTCCTATTCGTCGTTGCTCGCGGAAGAAGCAACAAATTCGATCAGGTGCAGTAAGTATTGCACGACGAGGAAACCGCACGAACCTTCCTCCTCCTTCGGCTTCCTCATCCTCTTCTCTCACAATCAAGCTGATAACTTTCCTTCCTTCTTCCTTCTCCGATTCTTCTCTTGCTCTACCTTTCGTTTGGTTTCGGAAATGAAGATAGACTCCCAATTGAAAACCCCCTCTCGATTCTAGCTTAACGACGGTAGCGACGGTGAACCCACAAGCGGATTCATTTTTTTTTAATTTATTTATCTATTTATTATTATTATTATTATTTAAATTTTATGCTATTACAAACATCTAAACACAACTCACCGTTGTGTTCCGTAAAGTAAATATATACCATGTTGTACTTATTATGCTATCCACATCTTTTACCAGTTCTGAATCTATAAATTTGTAGATTGATCTCTGCACTTTCATAGCAAGATACCCTGTTAACCGTTTTCTTCAAGTACACGAGAATCCACTTTACCGCCTCCCAATGGTGTCTACCTAGATTGCCTATGTAACTGCTGATCACTCTCACTACATATGTAATATATGGTTTGGTACAAATCATCACGTGCATCTAATTTTCAACTGTAGAGGCATACAAAGTTTTCGCCATCTGTGTTTGCTTTG